GGAGAAAACCGGAATTTAAAGTCACCATTATGGAGAAGAGTGTTTTTTTAGTTGGGCTCTTGACCCCCACATTATTAACTTTATATTTTGTTTGGCTGCTGTATCTGAGCTATAACACCCAGATAATCAACTAGAAAATGTGATCTGTGGATGTTGTTTGTGTATTAACATTAGTATTATATCATAGTCATTTGACCTGAATCACTAAACTCATACAGAAGCAAATTTCAATTTTAATTTATGGATTATAGCAGCAATGCCATTGTAGAGCATACATTTTTTTAGCCAATCCAAATGATAAAAAAACCCTAAAAACAAAAAGTATTGTATGCATGCACACACAGACATCAATATTTAATGTATGGATCTCAGCAATGGTGACAAACAGATCACCTCTGAACATAAGCTCATTATTTATTCATGCAGCAATTCATGATGGGAGCCATAAATGAGTTTTGATTGGTGGCACCCAGAAAGCACTGCAACATGATTTATTATAGTCACCACTGTTGAGATTCACAGGCTGATTCTTGATGTCTGTGTGTGCCTACATAAACTACTTTGTTATTTAAAAGTTTCTTTTTCATTGATTTGATCATTTGGATTCCTTTGAAATGGCCAAATGCTATAATCCATAAGGTAAACTTACTAGTGGCAGTGGCTCATGTAGGTTGTCTACAAATCGGAAGGTTGGTGGATCAATCCCCAGTTCCACCTGACCAAGTGTCGAGATGTCATGTTTTAACATATAATGATTATGTTAAAACACATCCAACATCATCAGATCACCTTTTCTATGTGATCATCTGGCTGTTATACCTCACATATAGCCAAACATAATCTAAAGTTAATAATGTGGGGGTCAAGAGCCCAACTAAAACAAACATTCATCTCCATAATGGTGACTTTAAATTACGGTTTTCTCCTTCATATATTCTGCTTGTTATCATCAGGTGTCTTCAATAATGCTCAATCATCACTCAATTATTCACTTAATTTTCTCATTAACTTTAACACTGCTTCAGTGTTCATTTAACACTCTGCTCAGCTTAGAGTTTAATTGGGTGGCTTAAAATGACTTCCATGATGTTGAAGATACATGAACAAATTGTGTTTGTTTAACGAAACCCAGTTATGTAGAACCAGTGGAAACTGTTTACATAAAAAAGTTAGGTAAAGCCAACACATCATTTTTTTGAGTGCATTAAGCGCTCTCACTTCCAGGCTTTGGTCTGGCGGCATGCCCACTTGCAGCAGTCAGTTCTGCCACCCCCTGAAACCATGGGATGGAAGACAGAGGGGAATACCCTTACTCCTCAACTCATGTCACTACCCCCAGTTCCAGATTCCTGTGAGGAGTTAATCACCTGTGCCTGCACCACTGGGTGCAAGACATCCCGATGCGGCTGCAAGCCTAATCCATGCACTGCATTCTGCAAATGCAGAAAGTCCAATGATATTTGTATGAACTAATAACTTTTGGAATATCTGTTATCACACTATTGTTGCTTGATTTTGTTGAAATTTCAGAGTTCCAGCAGCCATTTAAACATTAAAAACTGTCCCTTTCATGTCAATGTTGTTTTTTTTCATTGTTTACATGTTTAAATATTCTGAGAATGCACAGTTTAGTTCTAAAGTTTAATTTTAAACGGCAATAAATGCATTAAAACATAATAAATGCTCAAAAAATGTTTAAATGCTTTAAAAATGTTTAAACTGCAATAAATACATGTTTTTTTGGCAGCCATTTTGTTTTTATTGTTTATGCCAAAACAGTGATGTTTACAACTTGTCATACAGCATAAATGGATTCAGCATATAAAAATCATATAGAAACAACACTTGAAGTACTTTTCCTCAAAAATGCCTATTGCATCTTATCCATGGCTATTTATCTATTTTGGGACTCGACTATATTGATAAATCTCAAAGTCACCGTGGTTTTGGGTGTACGCCAGGTGTACGCTGGAAATTTGGTGTACGCACTTTGGATAAATGAGGGCCAGTGTGTTTCAGGAGTGTTTCGAACACGAGTGTGTTTCAGGAGTGTGTTTCAGCAGTTTTAAACACGAGTGTGTTTCAGCAGTGTGTTTCAGGAGTGTTTCGAACACAAGTGTGTTTCAGCAGTGTTTTAAACACGAGTGTGTTTCAGCAGTGTGTTTCAGGAGTGTTTCGAACACTAGTGTGTTTCAGGTGTGTTTTAAACACAAGTGTGTTTTGAACACGAGTGTGTTTCAGGAATGTTTCAGCAGTGTGTTTCGGGAGTGTTTCGAACACGAGTGTTTCAGCAGTGTGTTTCAGGAGTGTTTTAATCACAAGTGTGTCTCGGACACAAGTATGTTTCAGGAGTATGTTTCAAACAGGAGTGTGTTTTGAACACCGGTGTGTTTCAGGAGTGTGTTTCAAACACGAGTGTGTTTCAGGAGTGTCTCGAACACCAGTGTGATTTAGGAGTGTGTTTCAGGAGCGTCTCAAACACCAGTGTGTTTCAGGAGTGTGTTTCAGGAGCGTATCAAACACCAGTGTGTTTCGAACATGAGTGTGTTTCAGGAGCGTCTCAAACACCAGTGTGTTTCAGGAGCGTATCAAACACCAGTGTGTTTCAGGAGTGTTTTAAACATGAGTGTGTTTCAGGAGTATTTCGAACACGAGTGTTTCAGGAGTGTGTTTCGGGAGTGTTTTGAACATGAGTGTGTGTCAGGAGTGTGATTCAGGAGCGTCTCGAACACCAGTGTGTGTCAGGAGTGTGTTTCAGGAGCGTCTCAAACACCAGTGTGTTTCAGGAGAGTCTCTCGAACACAAGTGTGTTTCAGGTTTCAGGAGTGTTTTAAACACGAGTGTGTCTCGAACAAGAGTATGTTTCAGGAGTGTATCAAACAGGAGTGTGTTTTGAACATGAGTGTGTTTCAGCAGTGTGTTTCAGGAGTGTTTCGAACACGAGTGTGTTTCAGGTGTGTTTTAAACACGAGTGTGTCTTGAACAAGAGTGTGTTTCAAACACGAGTGTGTTTCAGAAGTGTGTTTAAGGAGTGTTTTGAACATGAGTGTGTTTTGAACACGAGTGTTTCAGCAGTGTGTTTCAGGAGTGTTTTAATCACAAGTGTGTCTCGGACACAAGTATGTTTCAGGAGTATTCAAACAGGAGTGTGTTTTGAACACGAGTGTGTTTCGAACATAAGTATGTTTCAGCAGTGTGTTTCAGGAGTGTTTTGAACACGAGTATGTTTCAGCAGTGTGTTTCAAGAGTGTTTTGAACATGAGTGTGTTTCAGGAGTGTGTTTTGAACACGAGTGTTTTTCAGGAGTGTGTTTCGAACATAAGTACATTTCAGGAGTGTTTTGAACATGACTGTTTTTTAGCAGCGCGTTTCAGGTGTGTTTCGAACACAAGTGTGTTTCAGCAGTGTTTTAAACACGAGTGTGTCTCAAACACAAGTGCGTTTCAGGAGTGTTTCGAACATGAGTGTGTTTCAGGAGTGTATGCTGCACATGAGTAAAGAGAAGCAAAGCACATAAAAACAACCCCATTGTCTTTATTTAGTTATTACAGTAGTCACTTTTATAGTAGCTGCCTTGTTTTTGTTTTTCCTTATTGTTTCACATATTCTATCACTTGGATCAATGCAAAGGCGTTCATATATATATATATTATATATATATATATATATATATATATGAACACCCCAAAAACAGGAAATTTTGGCAAGATATTACAAGAATATGATTCAGGCCTTAACCAGGGCGAATGTTTGGTTCATACATGGCAATTGAGTTTAGTGGGTTTTGAATCTGTAAAACACACGTTCGGATGAAAGAAGAACCGCATTCAAAACCTATTCAAGGCATTCGACTTGAATTCATTCTGATTTCAGAAAAACTACAACCTGATGCTAAACTCAGTGTTTGATATGTCACTATAAACCGCACAGGTATTTTCCAATGTGCAAGAACGTCTTTTAAATGCGAACTGCACTGAACATGAAATCTAAAAACACCAACAGCAAAAGAAACATTGTAACTACATTGTTGAGGTCACTTTTCAGGGATGCTGTTCGTCTACTGCCATCAAACACTTGAAACTGCCAGGTATTGGACCCAATACTGAAGAGAAGTGTGCGAGGAGAGTCCGAGAGAGAGTCGACATGCATCGGATCTGGAAGTGTTGCAGAAAAAACCAGTGTTCATCAGTTCATCAGAACCAGTCGTTCAGTCCGAGACCTGACGGCCAAACCAGCGCTCAGGGATTTGATAACACTGAATCATGATGGAAACACCAAATGTTTTATTCTCCAATGCATTTTGCAGATTATTCCATGTCATTAATTGGCCAGTTTCCCAACAGAGAGACTTTTCTCCATTGCTATTGGAAGGCAAAGTTTAGTTTGGATGAATCTGGATCAGAGCCAGAGCGAGGGACAGTGATGCAGGCGTTCGTGAAAAGTGAAAACCTTCCCAGATCAGCAGAATCTACAGCAACATTCGTGTGGGATGTTCTCAGACGCAGCATGAAACAGCAGCTAGAGCGCGAATGAAGCCAGCAGGGCAGCGGCAGGGTGCAGAACCTGCTGCGGGGGAAGGGGGAGGGCCCTCAGGGGCCGGTTCCTTCAGAACACTGATCCATCATGACGAGAGGAAGAGAGAAAAAAGGGAGGATGACAGCAGCTCCATGTGTGTGTGTGTGTATGTGTGGCACCAATACACCGAAGAGAAGAGAACAACACTGATCCACCGCTGAAGACATGAACACTGTTCACACACACCTCTGATCCATCACAATCAGTGAACGTCACGAAACACCTCAAATATCACGTCGCCCCAAAATCAAGCTTGGTCCCAAAATGGGCTTTATTTTGTTTAAGCAAAAAGCAAATAAACATTGTTTTGATTTTGGGGTGAACCTACTCGTTTCTCCTGAGATTCACCGAACGTGTGAGACCGTACCATTCAGCCACAGGAGACAACACACACGCACACAGAATATCTAAGTGGATGTGATTTCTCCATTCACAAACGGCGGATCCAGAAATGAAACAGAGCGAACGAGTGAGTCTGAGTCTGTAGTGTGTGTGTGAGTGAGTGTGTGTTGTGCTGTTCTTCAATGCTCTGTCGTCTGCGCAGGGGAAGGTGTGTCAGTATGTGTGTGTGTGTGTGTTCAGCTGTTTTTCAGTGCTCTGTCATCTGCGCAGGGAAAGGTATGTTTGAGAGTGTGTGAGTTTGTGTTCAGCTGTTCTTCAGTGCTCTGTCGTCTGTGCAGGGGAAGGTGTGTGTGTGTGAGTGTGCGTGTGAGTGTGTGTTCAGCTGTTCTTCAGCACTCTGTCGTCTGCGCAGGGGAAGGTGTGTAATTGGCAGAGGTCAGGGTTCATCAGGCCACAAGAGCGCAGATCCACCGTCTGTAATGACACACACCGGCGCAGCAGCGGCAAACACTGATCCGTCACCTTCACACAGCCTGCAACACACACACACTTTCACTTCATGCCTTTCTAGTTATACATCACAAATATGATTCTTGTGGTGTTTTTTCTACAGGTAAAGGTTGCTTCTAGGGATGGGCAACGATTAATCTCGATTAATCGCATCCAAAATAAAAGTTTGTGTTTACGTATGTGTGTGTGGTGTGCATAATTATTTTGTATATATAAATACACACACATGCATGTATATATTTATGAAATATTTGCATGTATATACTTATATGTATATATATTTGTATGTATATATATATATATATTTATACATAATTAATATTATGTATGTATTTCGGGAGAAACTGATGAATTTCCGCACTGTAATAAATCCAACAGACAGAAATATATAAACTGCGGCCCAAACACGGCACCCATCTCACGTTACAGATAAAGATCTTTTTCTTTCTTTTTTTTAAACGACAAAACAAACTCACTAACACATTTGAGAACCTGAATATGAGAATGGTAAGCATCATGAAATGGTAAGCAAGTTAATATTTTGAAATAAAAGTGCTAAATCTGCAATAGAGCGCTATTTTGGCTGTGGTGAATCACGTGCCAACAAACACGATGGTATTGTCCATCGGCCCAACCCTACTTGTATGCTCCAATTACCTCACACACACGCCCTGATCATCTAAAAAACTTTTAGCCTTTAATGTTCAAACCGGAGTCGGACAATGATGGAGAGACTCAAGAAGAAGAGACAATGTGTGGGGCTTTACCTGCCAGGTTTGCATGTGTGGAGCGTGTGTGGGGCTTAACCTCCAAGGGTGGCGTGTTGGGCGTGTGAGAGGCGTGTGGGGCATGTGTGGGGCATGTGTGGGGCATGTGTGGGGCGTGTGTGGGGCTTTACCTGCCAGGTTGACGTGTGTGAGGCTCTCTCGGAGCGGGGAGATGGCTGAGGTCAGCGTGAGGACGGTCTGGTCTGTGATATAGCAGCACTGGCTCAGGTCCAGTTTGGTCAGGTGGGGAAGGTACCGGACCAAAAGACGAGACATGGCGTCGGTCACTTCCAGCCCAGATAATCGCAGCTCGGTCACGTTCTGGAAGCGCCCGCCTCGGTTCTCTCCGTGAGCTGTGCGGGAACACACGGTTAGTGCTGGGACACTACAGCTCTTGAATTATTACTGAACTTCACTCAGTTTCCACATGTAGAGTCTCTCCAAGCAGCATTTTCAAAATCAACCACTGGCTGTTCAGTTCGGTTTGCCACTCCAGTAAATGACTGAAGTCTGTGTGAACAGAACATGAATCAGCACTAAAGCTGAACTGACAACTGAATTTATCTGCAGTGTGAACGTGGTCCTGGTCCACCATCTCAGGTAAAGCCAGTGACCGAAACACTCAAGCTGGGATCCTTTAACAGACACAAACATCAGACCGAACTTCATCTGTGGCCCTCAGGAAAACTGAACATCAATTATTTTAGGTAACTTTGCATAATAAGGTGGAAATAAACTAAAAATTAAATCCATCAGATGCTAACATTCTCTTCAATGATGTTCAACACATACCAAAAATTCTTTTACGGTTACATTTCATTTATGACAATTTTGTATGAATTGATAATATCATTAATGTCACCGTAACCTTTTAAATCTGTCTGTTTTGCCAGCATTCATTTAAAGCATGACCCAGTAAAGGAGTGTAGAAACTGACCTGAGCGCGTGTCGTTGGAGGGCGGAGCCAGCAGCTCTTTCAGGTGCGAGTCCTTCAGATCCTCGACGCGACTGAGGTCCAGGAGCCGCAGACAAGGACACACAGACTGACAGAGAGCCGAGACCGAGGACCACGAGCAGCCGGCCACGTTCAGCTCCAGAAGACCTGAGGGAGACACGAGACATCAGCGAGCAACAGAGATAATAGCGAGTGGCTGAGGCATCAGTTAGAGGTCTTCACAGTGCACCCGAGACCCGTCGACCCGGGACCCGACCCGGGACCCGTACGGGTTCGTGTCTATATTTTAAATTATCAGCCGGATCCGGGTCGGGTCTGAATCTATTACTTCGGGTCCCGGGTCTATTTAACATTGTGTCAGTGAGAGGCCGATACACAGAGACATCAGCGAGAGGCTGAGATACCGAGACATCAGACAGAGGCTGAGTTTTCTAGGAGTTTTCTCTTAAAAGTTATTCCTAACCCTAACTCTTAGTAAGGAAAAATGACAACTAAACTAAGAGCGAGTCTTCGTTGCTATGGATGACATCAATTCTCAAGCATGACCTTCCTCGCAATTATCATGGTGATTGGTTGTTAGATGACAGGGCCATCATGCGGAACATAACACAGCAACAAATCATGGAATTACGACATCTAAATATGTCTGTGTCCTACACAAAAAAATAATAGTAATGTCATCGAAATGCATATCCACCTTATTCTGCGCCCGTTCTATTTCCCATGATTCATTGCGGTTTCAATTGACTAAGCGGTTTTCCACTTCCTGTTGAAGTATGGTTTACATAGAATGCTAGCACTCTAGTCCAGACCACTCATCTATATACAATGATATTTTATATAGATCAGTGGTCCAGACATTAGAAAAATATCAGTTTACACATGCGTTTTATATTCACGGACATGACCGTTATTAAAGCGACTTTAAAACTTTCACCGAGATTTTAAAGAGAAACCACAAAGAAACATTTCTTTAAAGTGAATTTCGTTTTTAAAAATTGATTCTTAATTTAAATCAATAATTCATCAACCAATTGATTGGTTTTAATAAATAAGAGGTATATAAACAATAGATGATCATGACGGAGGCGACAGCGTGCAGACTTTGGTCTGAAACTCGGCGTAACGTTATGCCTAACCTCACAGCCCTGAGAAATATTATAGACTATGCATCTTTGAAAGAAGAGGTAGACAGAAGTCAAAGGGCTAACCAGCCTAACCTTTTAGTACTGTTCTGCAGTCGGGGTGATAGAAACTGTCGGATGTTTGCTGGATTAGGGAGATCGTGCAGTCATGCATCAGCTATCCTTTGGAAGTTATGAAGAAAAGAAAAACGTTCATTTTGTTTTTATCTGTGATTTAATAAAAAATAACGTGATCAGATCAAATTTGATGAATGTTTTTTCGATTTAGTTTAGCGATGTGAAGATGACACAATCTAAAACACATGTCAAAAAAGCATAGACCAGACTAGAACCGGAAGTTGACAACCGGAGTCATTGTCATGGCGGCGCCCATTGTTTAGAGCAGAATAAGGTGGATATAATGACATGTTTGTGCAGGCCCCAGTGAAGTGTAATTCTAAAAAAGCAGGGAGAGAGTGAAAAGTCATGAATTAAATAAAATTAAAGTAGCCTAATACCCCAATGAAAACCACCACTTGCCTAATAATGAAAAAACGACACTTGCATTAACGCTTAGTTAAATGACATCCCATTAGCCTAAATAGACTACTTAAAGCAAGGAAATGTTGCTCCTATTGAAGTAATGTAATAGTTGAATGACGGTGGATTATGAACTCGCCAAAACGGAAAAGAAAGCCCGACTGGATGCAGGATCAGTTACTGCTGCTGGCCCAGTTGGTGCTGAAAAAAAAAAACATAATAAAAGGGAAATTTGGCACTGGGATATCAAGCAAAACTAAGCATGAGACATCGGAGAGGATTTGTTTGCAGATCAATGCAGCATTCCCACTTGTGCCGCGGACGACTGTGAGAGGCGCTGGTGTTGCTACAATCCTTTGTGAATCGGTCTTAGTGAGTTAGGAGTCCTCTCGACTTCTTTTAAGCTTGGGTGAGACTTAGGTGAATACGCTCCTCGCTAGACACTAGACTGCTCCTGTGTGGCTTCGCCTGCATATTTTGGTTCTGCTTTCGAAAAGTCCCTTTCTAATAGAACTCTGAAATTATAAATTACACTTGATGTAGTTTTCATTTGAAGAAGCAAAACACCCTCTCACTGCTGAGCTTTAAATCCCAAACATGGGCTCAGTACAATCTCATGGACTGATTCCTCCTCGCTTCCGATCTTTCCATCGGTGACCAGTGTAAACGAAGACTGACACGGACCCTTCTTCCTCTCTCCTCTTTCACACACTTCTACGCTTTTATATGATCCTGTAGGCCTGTGTCTCGCCACGGCTGAAACACTGCACTGTTTCTCATCATGTCTGTAACACTTCACGTGTAACGCTAACAGGAGGATGTACCTTGCAGACGGTTGATCAGCCACATGAGCTGCTTCTTGGAGATGTTGGTGAACCCCAGGTTGAGAGATACAGGTTGTCTACGGATTATACTACTCAACATCGGAGGAGTGATGGAGCGCTGCCGGCTCAGGTCGATCTGAGTCCATAGCCTCTTATCACAGCACCTGCAGACAAACACAGACGTCACATGATTGAGAGGCTGCGGACAAACACACACATCACATGACTGACAACACCTGCAGACAAACACACACACACACGCGTCACATGACTGACAGCACCTGCAGACAAACACATGCATCACATGACTGACAGCACCTGCAGACAAACACAGACATCACATGACTGAGAGGTTGCAGACAAACACACGTCAAATGACTGACGACACCTGCAGACAAACACACACACAGACGTCACATGACTGGCAGCACCTGCAGGCAAACGCGCATCACATGACTGACAGCACCTGCAGACAAACACGTGTCACATGATTGATGACACTTGGGGCACATTCAAGTTCAAAACGGTGCGCAACGTTTTGCTACGGTTTCCTAGTTGAACGTCATGTTTCCAGGAAACGTTGTGCACCGGGGTTTGAGATATGTTTTCTCTCGTTTGGTGGGTGTGTCAGAACTGCAATCCAATCAGCAGCAACATGTATATAAAGCACGCGATATTAAAGTGAACTTGCACAATGGGTTAAGGAAAATAATTTACAAATGTGTTCAATGCAGATCGCTATATGCAACAACTGAGGATATTAGAAGATATGTTTGTCGTTTATTGTAAAAATATAGGATACCGACATGATGTAGTTTATTATATTTTTAACTTCATTGCAACATGACATTTGGTATAGAAATAAAAAATGGTAAGTGCTTTTCCTAAAAATGAGAAAGAAAATAGGTTATTAAAACATTATGAAATACAAATAAAGTTAGTGTGTGAGGCTAAACAGAATGTGTTTTAGTCTGAATTAGGTAAGATGTGTGCTTTCAGTTTCCACAAATCCCTTCACTTGATTGGGATGTTCTCTTGTGTTCTAGGCGGCAAGTGCAGTTACTGTAACATCGGGTATATTTTGTAATATTAAACACATTTTATACACATTTTATTTATACTGAGTTCATCAGGCTCCGAAAATTCTTCACAAATAACACAGAGAATGGGCTTATCGGGCTCCATAGTTGCAACTCTTGCGCCATCAGAATGGGGTGTTCAACGCATCACCGTTTCTTTTTAAAAAAAAAAGTTGTGCAACGTTTTGTCCGGGCTGAACGCAGCCCTGCAGAAAAACACACACACACACGCGTCACATGACTGACAGCACCTGAAGAAAAACACGAGTCACATGACTCACAGAGACTGCAGACAAGCACGCGTCACATGACTGACAGCACCTGGAGACAAACACACGTCACATGACTGATAGAGGCTGAAGACAAACAAGCGTCACATGACTGACAGAGGCTGGAGACAAACGCGTCACATGACTGACAGCACCTGCAGACAAACATGCATCACATGACTGACAGCACCTGCAGACAAACACGCCCCATGACTGACAGCACCTGCAGACAAACACGTGTCACATGACTGACAGCACCTGCAGACAAACACGTGTCACATGACTGACAGCACCTGCAGACAAACATGCGTCTCATGACTGACAGCACCTACAGACAAACACGCTCCATGACTGACAGCACCTGAAGACAAAAACACGTCACATGACTGACAGAGGCTGCAGACAAACAAAGTCACATGACTGACGGCACCTGCAGACAAACACATGTCACATGACTAATAGAGGCTGAAGACAAACACGCGTCACATGACTGACAGAGGCTGGAGACAAACGCGTCACATGACTGACAGCACCTGCAGACAAACATGCATCACATGACTGACAGCACCTGCAGACAAACACGTGTCACATGACTGACAGCAACTGCAGACAAACACGTGTCACATGACTGACAGCACCTGCAGACAAACACATGCATCACATGACTGACAGCACCTGGAGACAAACACGCGTCATATGACTGATAGAAGATGAAGACAAACAAGCGTCACATGACTAACAGAGGCTGCAGACAAACGCGTCACGTGACTAACAGAGGCTGAAGAGAAACACAAACACGCATCACATGACTGACAGCACCTGCAGACAAACACACGCGTCACATGACTGACAGAGACTACAGACAAACAAACGCGTCACATGACTGAGACTACAGACAAACACACACATCACATGACTGACAGAGGCTGCAGACAAACACATTACATGACTGACAGCACCTGCAGACAAACATGCGTCACATGACTGACAGCACCTACAGACAAACATGCATCACATGACTAACAGCACCTGCAGACAAACACGCGTCACATGACTGACAGCACCTGCAGACAAACACGCATCTCATGACTGACAGCACCTGCAGACAAACACAAACGTGTCACATGACTGACAAAGGCTGCAGACAAACACACACAAGTCACATGACTGACAGCGGTTGCAGACAAACACAAAACACAGAGGCTGCAGACAATCACACGTATCACATGACTGACAGAGGCTGCAGACAAACACGTGCGTCACATGACTGTCAGAGGCTGCAGACAAACACACGCGTCACATGACTGACAGGCTGCAGCCAAACACACAAATCACATGACTGACAGAGGCTGCAGACAAACACACACGTCACATGACTGACAGCACCTGCAGACAAACACACACGTCACAGGACTGAAAGAGGCTGCAGACAAACACACGAGTCACATGATTGACAGAGGCTGTAGACAAACACACACGTTACATGACTGATAGCACCTGCAGACAAACACACGTCACGACTGACAGAGGCTGCAGACAAACACACGTGTCACATGACTGACAGCACCTGCAGACAAACACACACATCACATGACTGACAGAGGCTGCAGACAAACACACGCGTCACATGACTGACAGTACCTGCAGACAAAAGGCTTGTTCGACTTTGTTATATTAACATTATTTTATGATTCAAAGTGTAACAAATCCTGGTGCAAAAGGTATTAGCTTAAACATAAATGTAGATTTGAGCTGTTGGTGGCACTAGAGGTTTGGAGACTCTGGTAAGTTAGGTCCATCTCCATCTGTGTGCCAGATCTCATAGCTCTCCTCCACAGTCTGTGGACCGGAGCAAAAGAAGAAACGAATGGCGATGAGAGCCACAGTAACGGATGCGGCTCATGAACCATCAGTGCTGCACATCTCATCAATAGGCTTTATGCACAACTTTTATTTCGCATTCTGTAAAACAGGTCTCATCGCTTCCGGTCCAGGTCTTTTGTATGTGCTTCATGAAATTTTTTGCGGTTTTACTCAAGATAACTTAAAAGGAGCGAGCAAAGATTAGCATAACCAATATCCCTCACATGTGTAGATTGATATTTAAACGTTATATATTTTTCTTCTTCACAGTAACGTTTGGATATTTAAATGGAATAAAACGCCAATAACAAAGTGAACTAGTTAGGTTAACTGATTACCTTAAATATCCAGATATATCGTAGTCAGTTCTAACGGCCGCAAACATTTTCTCTGACAAGCGATGAGACCCGTTTTCCGGTTGGTCACGTGACGCACGGCATAAAGCCAATTAAACACAAAACAGTTTTATCTGAATCGTTCCTTAGTTGGTTTTCTGCTGAACTGCCTTTAATAGGTCGTTCTTCAGTTCAGGGTCAGTTAATGCTGTGTTTGGACTGAAGAGGAAGGTTGGATTTACAGTACGTTTTCATAGAAATCAAATTTGATAAATTTTTTGACCTCTTGAAAAAAAGTCACTCGTATTGAGTGTGATATTAAAGATTAAAACGTATCAGATTATAACAGCTTTTAGTGATTTGATTGATTAGTTGATGTCTATGTCTGTGTTTTTGCATAGCTGTTTTTTACTGATTTACTTTTGTTGTACGGTGTCCTTGAGTGCCAGGAAAGGAGCCTATAAATAAAAGGTATTATTATAATAATGCCGTCATATGTTAGCAGATCTCTCACCAGCGGCTCCAGGTGCGACACACACGCATGCACACACACAGCTGGCGCTGGCTGAGCTGCTGGAACACGCGGAGCCAGGCATCTCTGGTTAGCGTGTGTGTGTCTCCGCTGGCGAGCGGAAGCCGGTGTGGTTCGGGGCAGGCGGGCGGCGGGCGCACGAGGTGTCTCTCCATCTGCAGAGGTCTGGGCGAGGGCACGGGCACAGCGCTCCTCTTCAGCGGCCGGCACTGCGAACGCTGCAGAGAGACGCCGCTAGCATTAGCGTTAGATGCAGTGTTGTTCCCGTTAGCCGTCGCAGAGCCACCCGCCATAGAGCCGCTCTTACTCTGGACTTGCCGGCTCCCACCGCGTAGTTTGCTCCCGCGGACAGCTTTGCCGTGCCGGTGATTAGCGACGGTGCTGTTTGAGTTCTCCTTCTCCTGCGTCTCCCTGCTGACCCGCGAGCGCCCGTTACGCTCCTGCCCGTTCGAGCGCTTGGAGGACAGGCCATCCGGTGTTTGTGTGTGCGTGTGTGTGACGGGCTGCGTGGCAGACAGTGGAGAGGGCGGGGCCAGAGGTTTGTGACCGCGATCCGCTGAGCCGTCCTCATCCTCGTCCGCTTCGGGGTCCAGAACCGGCTTACGGGCTCTGGGATTAGCGTCTCCTCGGCGGCGCTGCGGCTGAGGCTCGTCGGGCTCCGGCTCTGGCTCCGGCACGCTCTCTCCTTCAGAGTCCTCGCTCGCGCTGAAGCCCAGCTCCGCCAGGCGCCGGTTCCGCTCTCGCTCACGCATGCTCCCGTACGCCGGAGGCGACGGTTCCGAGGCGCCGATGGGAGACGGAGAGTCCGAGTCCGACTCAGAGTCCGTCTCAGAGCTGGAGGAGGACGAGGAGCTGGAGTCACGCACTCGCTCCAGCAGACACATGCGCTTGAAGCGCTCCAGTTTCTCCCGGTGATGGGAACGCTGGTCCTGGCTGGCCGTCAGGGACGAGGGCTGAGCCGGAGCTGAGCCGGAGCCGTGACCGACTGACACCGATGCGTTCGGCCCGTTCGCTTCAGACGAGTCAGAGGAGTTGGGTTTCGCTTTCTGCAGAAGACAGAAACTCAATGAAGCGCAGTCCTTTTAGGAGAGACATTGGCTACGTTTACATGCACAGCTTTTGTTTCAGTCAGCCTGAATTTATAACGTTTGATGAATCTGAATGTTTACATGAACGCTGAACATGTGATCGGGTTGATGCATGTGTTTATCAGTGATGCGTGGGTTGATCCAAAATGAGCGGGTGCCTGCAGTCACCCACGGTTACCCGCAGTTACGAGTCATCCAAAAATATTTTTAATGATATTCGGGTCGCGGTCGGTTGGATCGTTTGAAATAAAGATGCCCATTAAACCTTTGTATATAGTACTAGACACAATTTTCTATGAGATACAAAGGCCTACACTTTATTGGCTGAGTAACTTGCACAAAGATGACGCACGAGCTCAGTCGCGGTTCTGTACTGGTGATCCGAGAACTGCTGTACCTGTGTGTTCGGTAGTACGCGGATGCGCAGTATCAGCTGCTTGTGCTCATCACTTCTCTTAGCAGTGGCACCAACATGTCTCAGTTTAGTGAACTCTTGGAGTTACTGGAGTAAAATATACTCCGGGATATTGGTTTATTTCGATTCGGAGGGACTGTCAGGCATGTCTGAAAGTGAGTAACTTTAGTAACTTGTGGATTAAGCACTGACGCAAGACGCGAACTGTTTCGAATGATTCAGTCCGGTTCGACCAGTTCGCTAAAAAGAACCGGTTCAAAGGAATGATTCGTTCACGGACCGTCCATCAGTCTGCAGGGAGTGATGGAGGCTGCAAGAGAAAAGTTGAAGACTGGGGAGTGGAAGCTCCGCAAATAGCTACACAAATAGAAAGAGCAAAGTGTGGGAGACATTTGCCGAAATAATAAAAGATGATGACCAAACTGCTGGCTTTGAAATGTGTAGGCTTCTTTCAATGCTATTCACACATTTGTGCTACACTACGATGAGCATTTACTACTTTTAAAAAATGCGGATCAGGAAGCGGTTCGGGTACAATATTTTCTATCTTTTTTTTGGGGTCCGAGTTGCGGGCGGGTTAGTTGAAAACGTCGGTCGGGTGCGGGTTGTTTATTCATCGACCCGCGCATCACTGGTGTTTATATGTTACAAGCTTATATCGTATTGATTGTTTGATATGCGCCCACTGCACAAATATACAGAGTTTCCCGCTGTTTGCGCATAATAACTATTCTCATTCATTGGTTAATTTGTTTTCAGACTAAATACTGGTAACTTTGTTCCATCATTACCCTATTTCTACATCATCGCACATGCACATGTCCTTTCTGTTCCGTTTTCAGTCCGATCAAGTGTTCACATGTTCTCTGGACCGGATTAGAAAAGAAATAAACACTCCTTTTATTCGGATTGAAATCTCATTGGGATTGAGCTCAATCAGATCGATTAAGGCGTTTTTACATGAATGCTTTTCAGTGCGATTCAGCCATCCATCGCTTCACTAACGGATTATCTGGTTGCATGTAAATGTAGCCTCTGACAATTATTATTTTTAACAATGAGACAGTTGTACCTTTTTCAGATGTTTCTCACGGGCACCTTTGATCTGTCGGGGAAAACAGAAAATTTTTAAATTTTAAATGTAGCCTTTTCTAAAACACTACAGAGCTTTTTGGTGACTGTGTTTTATCTAGGGATGCACAATATATTGCCCAACATATCGAAATCGGCTGATATATGATCATTTTTAAAGTTATCGTTATCAGCCTGATAAGAAAATGAGGCCGGTATATTAAAGCCGATAAATAATGTATTATTTCCTTCAGCTGAGACGCTTCAGATGCGCACTGTTCAACATGATGGGTTTGAATTTGAAGAGATGGGAATCTCTTCAAAAAATGAAAATACAGTAAAATGAAACAAGCTGTCATAAATGCTACATAAAATGATAATGAGAACATTAAAATTGTGTGCTTGGGACATGGCTTTTAATTGTTACATTTTTTGTAATCGGGCTCTTAAAAATTATTAGACTATTTATCGGCTAATTTATCGGTTATCGGCCTTCAAATATAAAGAATTATCGGTCTCAGCCAAAATGTTCATATCGTTGCATCCCTAATTTAATCACTAGATATAAAAATGGTTTCTCTCTCCATGTTTGAAATGACGTCAGCTGTCATTTGCTGTTGCACTTGCCTTCTTCTTGGAGCCTCCCTCCTGAGGCACGTCCTTCTCCTTCTTGCGTTTCGGCCCGTCGAGTCGAGTCGAGTCTTCCAGAGACAAGCTCTTTTTCTTACTGGGTGGAGGATCATCCGTGAGCTTCCAGCGACTCACTTCCCCGTTGTCCATGCGTCGCTTTCCCAAACCGTCTCCTTGATCCTGCAGACCAGACAGAAACCTTATAATATTCTGAAATTATATCATCATTATATAAACAAGCTGAGGTTAAAAATCAAATGTGATCATGTGTTGGTTGGAGGCATGAAATGTAAATGCTCATTATTTAAGAAACTGATCTGCAAGGTCGAGCATGATCATTGAAAACCAGGCCTAACTGGAAAATGTTAAATATTATTATTATTATTATTATTATTACTACACGTTAAATATTGTTTCCTTTTCAGTTTGCTCCCTTCACAACTGATTGCACTTTTTTTTACATGCCTTATAGCTGCAGTTATCAGATAAGAGGTGGGCGATAATATAGTCACATTTTAAGATGATATAAACATTCAAGCAGTTAAGATTTGCTATATTATGTAATCGCTGAACATGAATTTATTGTATGCATGAGGATAAAGTTGGTTTGCAAATCGGTTTGCAAATGACGGATTTATGGACCAAAATCTATTAAATATTTTCCATTTTAGCAGAAAACCTTTAAAGAAGGTGTGGCAAGACCAGCCCTGAAACAGAGACGCTTCATTATGTTTTACCTCAGTCTTACCTTACTGGTCTTTCCTTCCTTGTGGCACTTTGGACATTCCCAACAGTTTGGGATCTCATCGTTAATGATGCCTTCGGACTTCCCCATCTGTGGGAGAGAGTTGATCATGTCAGTATTACGAGTGCTGGTAAAGAGTGTGTTGGTAATGAGAGCGCTGGTAATGTTGGTAATGAGAGTGCTGGTAATTAGAGCGCTGGTAATGAGAGTGCTGGTAAAGAGAGCGCTGGTAATGAGAGTGCTGGTAATGAGAGCGCTGGTAATTAGGGATGTCCCAATCAGGTTTTTTTGCCCTCGAGTCCGAGTCATTTGAATTTGAGTATCTACCGATACCGAGTCCCGATCCGATGCTTCTATAATATATTTAAAAAAAAGAATAAAGAAGAGCGAAAAAACAGATTCAGATTCCAGGATGTTCCTTAAATTTAATTTAATTGGCCTTATTTTAACATTTTGACAACTCTGTTAACAAACAGAGCACTTCTGTGTGGTAGCTTGAACAATCAGGTAATAAATATAAATTCTTCACTTTTGGGACTTTAGTGCAACAGTAAATATAAAAAAAGTCTAATATAAAAACTAATAGCACTCATTGCGATCATTTGTGCTATCTTGGCTGTGATGTCTTGCGCCTTCGCACGATCAAGGTGAAATTTTTCTCTCCTCTTCAAACTCTCCTGCAGCGTGAGTCGACTTTTGTTAGTTTTTGACGGTTTGTTGTGTTAAATGTGTTTTTCTTTCTACCTCTTGAGAAGTTTACATGTCGCACAGTTTGCTATGGCAATGATGTTGTCATCAACTTTATAATGTTAAGAATAAATATACTGATAAAGACACTGTCAGCAGTATTGACAGCAAAATAGACCACATAATATTTTGTTCTGTATTGACAGGTGCAATATTTGAAAATTGATAATTATTTATTTATTTTCAAATTATATTTGTATCTTAATTTGTCAAAACCTAGACTTTCAACCATCAAAATTTAATTTATTAATATGTATTTGTGTACAAAATAACTTTGTAGCGAATGTCAATGGCTGTGTGGCTATCAATCAGCTATGTGGAACCCCGGGCACGCTGTTGGTTGGCGGACTGGGGAGAGGGGGGCGGGTTGAGGAAATTCGTATGTTATTTTGGTTGCGCTGTTCTGAAGCTATCTTTTTGAATGCCTGCACGTTGTGCCTGGCGAATAAACACGTTAACTGAACTCTGGCCTTGTGTGAGATGCAACAATATAAACAGTTTCTCTATTCTATTTTGCCTGGAAACACTTCCAACACCCTTGCGTGTCGCATGAAAAATAGGCTTCGGTTCTATTTCTAGCATGCACACGTTTTTCCTCACGGCTCGAGCGCGCCTGAGCACGCAAGTCACTCAGGCAATCTGCAAGCTCTAACCTGTTAACATGGGAGCCGAAATAAAAACGGACACGCCACGTAGCCAGTGTGTCACAGGGCACTCTGGGCCACCTCATAACTATAAATGTGTTAAAAAATACTAAGAATATATATATATATATACACATGTATCCGAGTCCTGATCGGGAGGTAACATCCGATTCCAAGCAAGTCTGAAACCACGTAATCGGGCCCAAATTCCGATCACATGATTGGATCGGGACACCCCAACTGGTAATGAGAGCGCTCTTAATGAGTGTGCTGGTAATGAGAGTGCTGGTAATGGGTCGGTGTGGACCAGACCTTCAGGCAGCTGGGGTGGATGATCTCGTTGCAGATTGTGCACTCCATCAGAGACAGGCTGAACTTCTCCTCCTCCGACTCCACTGTATCTTCCTTCCCCGCTTCACCACAGGCGAAACACACGGCAGTGTGCGGCAACACCGGCTGCAGTAGAGACCCATGGGGAAAACACACACACACACAAAAAAAAACTAACCAGGGAGAACATGTATGAAGGTGTGCACATGGATGCATTTTGCTCAATCTGATTTCAAGTGGTCAATGCCAATGATGTTTTCGTCAGTGATGACGATAACGAAATGATTTTGTTGACGCACTTTTTTTTAATGACGATAACTAGCTAAAAACGGCTCTAAGGTGACTAAAACATGACGAGACATTTTCGAGTTTTCGTGGACGAGACGAGACAAGACAGAAAGAAAATGAGTCTGACGTTCACAATGCATGTCATTAGGGGCCAAGCACCGAAGGTGCGTAGGCACCTATTGTATCTGTTCCAGTTCTTATTATTAGGGGCCAAGCACCGAAGGTGTGGAGGCACCTATTGTATCTGTTCCGTTTCTTATTAGGGGCCAAGCACCGAAGGTGCGGTGGCACCTATTGTATCTGTTCTGTTTCTTAAAATTAGGGGCCAAGCACCGAAGGTGCGGAGGCACCTATTGTATCTGTTCCGGTTCCTATTATTAGGGGCCAAGCACCGAAGGTGCGGAGGTAAGGCCTATCAACAAAATTATTTTTTCCTCTTGTTCCTGAGCTCATGCCGATTCGATCGCACCCTATGACGTCATTTTCCATCATAAAAAAATGGCCGCCATTTTGAATTTTCCAAAAAACCTACTTTTGCGAACTCGTCCTAGACGGTTTGTCCGATTTTCACCAAAATCGCACCGGATCATCTCCAGGCAGTGCTGACAAAAAGTTATGGAATTCAAGATGATTTGAATAACCGTTTTCGATAAACGCGCAAACTAATGTTATGTAGCGCTTGCAAAAACAGACGTAAGGCTGTATCTCCGCAATGCTTCATCCTATTCAGACCAAACTTGGTACATGTCATCACAAGTATGACCTGAGGCTACATGCAGCGTTTCGGCGCAGCGCCACCTAGTGGTCCGGAGATATGAAAAATGGCTATTTTTGCTCGTAACTTCTGAACGGTTTGTCCAAAAATCATAACCTTCATCTCGTTAGATTCAGGGCGTCATGCTGAGTCGACTGATATCCAATTTTCCCAGATCGGCCATTTTGACTGTCGGCCATTTTGAATTATGTGCTAAAATGCTGTATTTTTTGAACGCATGAACGAATTGTTACGAAACTCGGTATGGGTCATCAGTACGATGCCCTGAAGGAGCCTGAGAAGTTTCGAAACAGCGCCTCCTAGTGGTGAATTTTTTTTTTCAAACGCTTATAACTTTGGGTGTGGTACACTTATTTTCACGGGAGTCATCTTTTTCAGTTCCTGAATCGCTGCCGAGTCCAACGATACTAAACATGCTGGGTTTCGTGTTACGCTTGGTGTAGCGTAGCGATTTAGCGCGAAAAAAACACTTGGCGATATCTTCAAAACCGCTGTTCCGATCGTGACGAAACCACCGTCAGAAACACGGAATCATAGGTCGTTAACTAAATGCTATTGCCCAAATGCGAAAATATTGATAGTAAGGGGTAGTAAAATTCAAACAAAGTGATGTGTCAGTCATTAGGGCCCGAGCACTAACAGTGCGAGGACCCTATTGAAACTGTTAGGATTATTTTTTAGGGGTTCAAGCACGAAGTGCTGAAACCCTATTGTAATTGTATTGATTTTTAGGGGTTCAAGCACGAAGTGCTGAAACCCTATTGTAATTGTATTGATTTTTATTATTATTATTATTATTATTATTATTATTATTATTATTCTGCCGTAAAACGCATCGTGCAGACCAAACCGTAAGTGCTGCAGTTCTGAAACTTTGTCAGATGGTAGTACAAAAATCGAGGAGAGGTTATCAAATTATGAGCCCGATTGGCCCATAGGTGGCGCTATAGCGACCAATTGCGCGAAACTGCTCATAACTCCTAGACCGTAAGTCGTACACTCAAGTGTCTTATATCGTTGGAAAGCTGGTCACCTGACGAAAAAAACGTATATCTCCGATTTCATTTCCGTCATGATAGATTTTCCGCCATTTTGAATTTTGTCGAAAAACTACTTTTGCGAACTAGTCCCTGGATTTTTGCCCGATCGGAACCAAACCAGTGCAGAAATGTTCTCTGGAGTCTGAAGATTAATAATTATCAAAAAAATGTTGAAATTTCTCGTTCCGGTCGCTAGGGGAAGCAAAATAAACGTTGTGGGAGGAGCCTATTTTACTAAAATGGCTATAGCTCGAGAAGTAAATGAGATATCTTCACCAAACTCGGTACACATGTGTAAGAGTTCAATTTGAGGTGACAGTAAAAAAATCGCGACGATTGAACACTAGGTGGCGCTATAAAATGAAAAAAACAGATAAACACCTGACCGTCAGTCCGATTGACTTGAAAATTGGTATGCAGTGTCTTGGTCCAAGGCCTCATGTAAGTCTATAAGGACATTGGTGTATCTCAAAAAACATGGCCGCCATCGGCCAATGAAGTTTGAGCATCTATGAAACAAGGTTAACGAAGGCCGATCGGAACGAAACTCGTTGGGAATGTTCGACTCATGGCCCTAGAGGTCTGTAAAAATTTTGAAAGAAATCGGCCACTAGTTGGCGCTAACGAGTTTTATTGCTCTGTAATCACGTGGTGTTGCACACACCCCCACAAAATGTATATCAATTGATAGATCTCCTCATGATGAACAACTTTGCCTCAAGAACCATTGCTGTCAATCAATTCGTTCGTTAAATATTCACGAATATGTTAAAAACCTACTTTTGCGAACTAGTCCCTGGTTTTTTGCCCGATCGGAACCAGACTAGTCTAGGATAATTCTTTGGACTCTCTTGATCAATAATTATCCAAAAAAAGTTCAACTTTGTCATTTGTCTTGCTATAACAGGGTCATTTAGAAAAGGGGGCGTGACAAAAAGCCCCCAAAAGCCTGTAAATCCTAAAGGAAAACTCAGAACTTTACAAAAATTGATGAGCATATGTGTCATAACATGCTGAAGAAGCATGCACAGTTTCATGGAGATCGGACCATAGGTGGCGCTATAACTGTTAAAAAGCTTTAAAACCATGTATTTCCAATGGTAAATTGCCAGTATTGGCTGTAAATGGTGTTTTCCATCTCTGATCATATCATAATGTTAAAACCAGTGCAGTACAATTCTCTGGACTCTCTAGATCAATAATTATAAGAAAAGGTTGAACTACTTCATGTGGATGGCTTCAACATGTACTGTGTTGAAGCCATCTATTACTACACTTTCAGTGTCCCTGAAAGCGTTGATCTCTTCAATAAACAGGTCAGAACACGTGACATTAAATAATCATGAACATTTTCAGACAGATCGGACAAAATATGCCTGTAGAACAGTTAAAAAGGTGAAAATGATGGTCTGTTAAGCCAATAAGTGGAGTTTTACTGCCACCTGCTGTTCAAAATAGTAAGTTGTCATGTATAATTCATATTATGACTTTATCAATTCACTAACTTTACATTTACAATCACATTTAGTCAAAAAGTACTATGACAACTGTCATATTGAATTAAAATCTACACACACTCATTCAGTTGTAGATAAATGATATGAATACCTACCACTGTTGTCACTGTTTTTAACATAGTTTTATAACATTAGATTACAAAGAAATATCCCAAAGGTGTGTGTGTGTGTGTGTGTGTGTGTGTGTGTGTGTGTGTGTGTGTTTGTGTGCGTGTGTGTGTACATCTCTGATCATATCATAATGTTAAAACTAGTGCAGTACAATTCTCTGGACTCTCTAGATAAATAATTAAAAGAAAAAGTTGAACTACGTCATGTGGATGACTATAATAGGATGGCTTCAACATTTAGTGTGTTGAAGCCATCTATTTCTACACTTTCAATGTCCCTGAAAGCGTTGATCTCTTCAATAAACAAGTCAGAACATGTGACATTAAATAATCATGAACATTTTCAGACAGATCTGACAGAATATGCCTAAATAACAGTTAAAAAGGTGAAATGATATCAATATGATGGTCTATTAAGCCAATAAGTGGTGTTTTACTGCCCTCTGCTGTTCAAAATAGTAATTGTCTCACTACTCAACTATAATTAATATTATGACTTTATTAATTAACTATTTTAACATTTGCAATCACATTTAGTCAAATATTGAACACAATCATTTTTTTTTTGTCAAAGTTTATCACTTCAGTTGTTCTGAATCTTCACATAATTGCTATTAACGTGGTAAATAGCTATACTATATTCCTAGAATCACATTAAAATCCAATCATCCAAGCCCCAATCACTGTAAACAATGATAAATCATGCTAGAACGTGGTAAATTAATGTACACTATGGTCAGAGGTGTAGTGGTAAAAAAAAGAGGTGGGTAAACTATAAATTCTGGTGTATTATTTCGAATAATAAGACACTATGGGCTGTTACTCTAGGGGCTGATCAAATTAAATCATTTACACTGAAAAATCACAATTGCATAAAATAATGTTATGACATTTATTTAAATTTACATAAGAAACTGGGAAAGAATGATACTACTTTTAAACATTTAACACTAAACCGCCAGTAGGTGGTGGCAGGCGACCGTCTTAATGAGTGAGTCATTCAATTCATTCATTCAAACGATTCGTTCAAACGGCTGATCATTCAAGAATGAGACCGATGTTTTTGAATGTGTCTTTGAATCTTTGACTCAATCGATTCATTCAAAATGCAGAATGATTCAGTAATGAAAACACGTCGAGTGTTCCTGTGACATGTGCTGTTGTTCTGCTGTGATTATTGTTTGGAACTATTTTCGCTGCTGAAACACAACAAAAACAGCCAATATAGCATCTAAAATGTAAGTGATTTAATTTTTTACTGTTTATTGAACTGTTGTAGGAAATCAATGTCACATTTTCAATCGTGATGGTGTTCAGGAAAAATAAGAGACCCCATTTACACCTGGTATTAAAATGCGATCTGTATCCAGACAAGTTATCCGGA